AACGCGTTTGGTCCAACTACTTCGTGAATCAGATATGGCCCTTCCCAAGTGGATGCTAGCTTGCCATGTCTGGGGTCTGGGCGGAAGTTCCGCCTCAACACTTGGTCTCCCAGGCTGATGTTATGAGGGACTAACTTCGTGTTGTAGTATTTGGCTATCTGAACTTTCGCCGCGGCTAGTTTGATGGATGCTAATTCGCGTCTTTCCGTTGCCAGCTCCAGATCCATTAAGCGTGCCGCGTCGTTACTTTCTTCGTTAAACATTGTGATCTGGTACGTGGGCATTGATGTCTCAATGGGAATAACCGCGTCAGTGCCATATGTGAGTGCAAATGGTGTTTCGCATGTGGCAGCTTTGAACGTGGTGCGGTGTGCCTCGCTTAAGCGAGTGTGAAGTCCGTGAAGGATTGCTTTGTTCGCGGATTCTGCTTAGCCGTTGGCTTGAGGGTACACTACTGAAACGAAACGAGCGATCGCGTTGACTTTATTGCAAATGTCGATGACTTCAGCGCAGTCAAACTGTTTTCCATGGTAAAAAAATGAACGCGCTTGGTACGCCGAACCGCTTCAGTACATTGTGCTTCAGGAAGCGGATGACCTGATGCGCTGTGATGGATGCTAGCGCCTCTGCTTCGATCAACTTCATGAAGTAATCAACCGCCACAATGATGTATTTGCGTTTCCCCTTTGTCGTTGGGAAGGGGCCTAGAAGGTCCACCCCCCATTGTGCAATGGCCACAGACTTAAATAGCCTTGAAGATCAGTGGATGGTAGGTGATGCTGTCGAGCGTTTACTTGGCACTTGTGGCACTGGGACACGAATTTTCTCGTATCTTTTTTTTATCCGTGGCCAGTAGTATCTGTGGAGTAGGATGGTGTGCTCCATGGATCGGGAACTGCCGTGCATGGCGCACAGTCCCTCGCGAACGCTCTGTATTATGCTCTTTGCTTCCGTTGGACCTACACATTTAAGGTATACGTCTGAGTATGCACGGCGGTGTAGCTCATCACCAATAAAGGTGCAACGCGACGCTTTCTGCCTCTGCGCCCATGCCTCTTTCGGGTCATCTGGAGTGGATCCATCATTTAGGTACCTTGTTATTAGCGTATGCCAATCTTCTTCTTTCGCGTGTTGTGTTTATTGTGGTTACCTGTTGGGGTTCTGGATCCTCCTTATGTACTGACACTAAGCGTGTTGAGTCGAAGTCGGCGGGGGTCGCCAGCTTTGACAGTGCGTCAACATGGATGTTCTCTTCGTGCGGTACTTGCACATAAGTTACCGCCTCGAATAGCGCCTCTCGCTATTTCACCCGTTCGATGTAGAGTGTGAGTGTGTCTTCTTTTGCGCATGGTCCATGAAACCGTACCGTACCGGCGGTTCAACCACAAAATATCAGTATCGGAGACTAAACCGGTAGACGGTATTTAATGGTCTAACGGTTGAACTACGGTTAACCCACGGTTTTATCATAAAATACCATACCGCTGGCTTTTCCGGTACGATATCCGGTACGGTTTCATGGACCATGCTTTTGCGTCGAAGATTCCGTTCAATTGATTTACTGCTAACGCGGAGTCAGACAACACCCTTATAACTTTTGCACCCATCTCTCTGGCGGCTGTACGTCCTGCCAGAATTGCTTCATACTCATCTGCGTTATTTGTTTTTAGGGAACGAAATCGTATGGAGATTTCGTGTACGACACCGGCGGGGGTTCGTACCACTACACCCATCAATGCCTATAAATCTCCTACAACCAGCCTTGAAACCCACTTTGCATGCTTCAAAACACACATGCATCCTTGCAAAAACGCCACCCGACTGCTCTATTATGACTGTAGATCCAGGGTTAGTTCTTAAAATCTCATCTTGATACCTGTACAAGTTCTGAAATTGTTCCTCTTCTTCTCCACCAAGAAGTAACCAAGCTGTACACCTACATCTTTGTGCTTTAAATTGACTTATGTTGACACCAAGATCTTCTCGGACCGTTTGATTCAACAAAGGGACATACCAAGTTGGATAAACTCTAAAACGAGTTAGATAATTCTTTGCTATCCATAAAGCCGTGCAAAATCGATTTTACCCTTGGACAATGATCTGCATGATCCACGCAACAAGTTTTTATTTGAGGAGTCTTTTGATCAGACATATACGAGACCCATATCCTCCAAGGACATCCCTTATGTCAAACAGCTTCAACCCTTGTTTTGTCAGTCCTTGAAAATCTTATGTCCCTTTTATTCTTGATAGCATAATGACGAACAGCCTCCTTAAACTCCAAAAATGACTCGAATGTCTGTGATTTGAAGAACACAGGGTCTTTCATATTTGCTTCTGCATTGAACTGAGGGTATTGAACTTCATCCTTTTCACCCTCTTCTACCACATGATGTAAATAATCTGGGTCCATATAGTCGCTCTCCGAACCCTCATAAATGATTTCTGAATGTCCCCCTAGACGACCTGCCCTAAATTCATCCTCTATATATTGATCAAAGGCCAAGTCATCTTCCTTATCATCCAAATCATTATCACTATCTACAAATGATTCATCATCAGAATCTGTATCTTCTAAAGAGTCACCACGTTCTTCCTCAAAATCTTTAACTCTTTCTCTTCTAACTCGACTTCTTTGACCTTCACTTTGTACACTTTTAGCCATCTGACTTGTTGCATGTGCTGGTCGTCCTCTTCCAACTCTTTCACTCAACTGCTCCACATAATTGTGGTCCATCAAGTAAGTATCCACCACTCTACTTTTCTTGTTGATTAGTTGTCCCATATCCAGTAAATGACTGTCATGTTTTATTGCCTTCAAGTTAGGTAACCGTAAGGGCTCCCCTGGAACCCTCCAATACCAACCCAAACCATGAAGAGGGAGCCCCATCTCAGCCAACATATCATCTAAATTAAGCATCGACAACTGTGTCCTCGTAGTGAATACTGCGACGTTGTGTCCTCGTAGAGCGGGTTGGAATGGGCGCGGAAAGACCCATGAGGTATTACGTCCTCTGATACGTTGGTGGATGCGCTAGATCTCGAGCTATGCCCCCTAACACAAACTAACAAACAATTCAAACAAAAGTGTCGCTTTCTACTCAACCCCAACTAAAACAATCAACACATAAGCGTCGAGAATCATTAATTCAATATATCGGACTGTGTTTAATCAATAAGTCTGGAACTTGTAAACAATGGAAGCAGAGAGTGATCCAAAGCAAACTTGCAAAACATGGGTTGAACAAATTCGTAAGAATGTGGCTTCAAGAATGATCATTGAGGCGATATTAAGGGCTTACCAAGAGACTATTTGCTTCTCAGTCCGCAGTCGCCATAGTTTTTCCATGTCGTTGCCTTTCTCGATCAACAACAGAAGTGATGAAGCATAGAATGATCCAACAAATGTCAATCAGAAAGCAAATATGCAGGACAAAGGCTGAGCAAACTCGTAAGAATGGGGCTTCGAAATTACTGTAAAGATTTTGAGGGCTTAGTATTTTTTTTCCTTCTCGGCCGCAGATTCGGCCGGTTAGGCCGCGTTGCTGCCTTTCCCGATCAATGATTTAGTAGAAAGCTAGCACGCATGAGCATTTGAGGCCGTACAAGCAAGAGGATACTGTTATGAGTTAAGTGAGGAAATCAAGCAAAAGGAATCAATGGAGTGGGCAACCGAGTCATCGAGAGCGGCGATAGGGTGTGGCAGAAGAGCGGGAGATAGGGTAGGCGCGAGGCAGTTACAATTTCATATTCTGGCGCTGGCGGAAGGAAAGCGGCGAAATTGTAAAGGGAAGGAAACGAAGGGTTTATGTGCGAAAGGGAGACTGACATGGATAGCTTCAACGTGCAGGGAGGAGTAAGTGGCAGTGGTCCAAATCTAAAAGCCCTTTAATAATTTTATAGATAGATAGATAAAATAAATAAATCAAGAGAGAGAACAATTTTTTTATTTTGTTTATTTTTCCTATGTGGCTTGCATTTTAAATTTCATTTAATGCAAGCTTGCATATTTGCAATTGCCCACTATATTGGTGCAATCCCCTTTACAATTGCATATTGAGTGCCATGTAGGATTTGCAATTGAGCAAATACCATTGATGTGGATGCTCTAATGGCATTTTTAGGTGGTAACAGTTAGTCGGTTATCTATTTAAACCGATAACGAAGAGTAGTTTTTACCCATAATTGATTTTTTTTAGCATTTTGGTTTTGTTTAGCTGAATTTTGTTTACTGGTTAATCAATAAGAAAATTTAGAACCGCCTATTAGTATAACCACATAGTTTTTGGCTTCGGCTAAAAGAAAGGTTTCAATATTCAAAACCAACTAAAGTAACAATTTTAAATATCTCAACTCACTTCCATTGCAATCAACCCTTCATCAAACTTCTCAAATACGTTTACCATATCGTTTGGTATAAATGAATTCCATAAATTTTGAGGAATTCAATTTTGAAAAGAAATTTTTTTTTTGTGTTTGGTATTTAAAGAAATTCATTTTCAATTCTAAATTTTGAATTCTACAAAATTGGAACTAGTATAGCTATTCCGAGTAATTGAGATGAAATTTTAAATAAATTCTACAAGTACACTACTAATTATAGGAGAATAAAATAATTATACTCATTTATTAACTAAATTACTTCGCGCCAATACACAGATTATGCATGTCTAACCCTCCTCTTTCCGCCCGGTATGTTAACCTAATATATATTCCTCCTAAACCCTCAATTGAAGGTGACTCAAAATTCCATTATGAGGACTAAGCAACAATATGCTATTTGGAAATAAGACCAACTCTCCTGCTATTTCCAAATGCTTAGATAATAACTTTGTCACTTGTGTTTTTTTAGAAGATGAATTTTCAATGAATATTGTGTCTGTCAGAAATTAATAAGAATATAGTTGGAAACTTTTAATTTAATTCAATTATGAATGTATGCCAACCATAATTTGGGAATTCAAATTTATTTTATTTCTAAAATTCGAAATATGACATATACCAAATATAAGAATTCATTTGAAAATCTAACCGCTAACCGAAAACAAGTGGTTAACCAAAAAGTTTTATCATTTCAGTTTTCGATATTTATTTTGTACTTAATAATTAACGGAAACCGAACCGATTAGCACCGCTAGACATTTTAGAGCACCCAACTGGCTGATACGACAGCCATCTGGGCTATTACCAACAACTTGTTCATCATTAAAGATAGGAGGAGGCCGATTAAGGGCTAGTAAGGGTGAGAGCTAGCTAGCAAGTCTCTCTGTTCATGCTTGCGGCTAATGTAATGTAATATATGGAGAAACCTGACACAGATAACTCTTCCATCGTAACGGAGTTCAGCACACGAAGATAACAGGTCAACCCATAACAGTAAGCAGCTGATACAATCATACAGATTGGCTTTCTGAATGAGTAAATGTAAAGGGCTGCTGATGTTTTTATGGAGTCGTCCTTGCAAAATGCAGTACAAAACTTGTGTTCATAGTTATACATATTCCCTTCAAAATGGAAAACCAAGAAAACACGACCAACGACAGAACAGATCAGAGGCAATTCTTCTGATATCCATGTATGAATCACAGAATCAGTCTTTGGGCTCGGCTGCTTTTGCTGGCTTTGCCATAGAACCATGCCTGAGAAATATGCCCCAAAAGGCCAAAAACACATCACAAATAATGAGATGATCACTTCATGGCAATCTATCATTCATGAATTATGGTCACAGATTACACTCACCTGATCTTGCGTGACAACTGATACAACCCAGTTCCAGCCAGACATACATTCACACTCAACAAGTTCCAATTTTTCTGCAGATATGCATGTCCAGTGATGAACAGTCAGAAACACACAACTAGTTTCTTGCAGATCAGTTCATATTATACTCCAAAAACAGAAGAACAGGATTGATTACATACCGGGGTAATGGCCATGCTGTATCGAGACCATATAACACCAGTGGCCACAACAGCTGCATCAAATTGATTACGTTTGTCAGCAACTTATATCCTCAATTAGAAAGCAGAATTCATCCATTTGATAAAAAAACACAGAGATGGATATATTGTATACCAAGCTGCTGCGGGTAAGAGACCATGTCGGGGGGCTTGACGAAGTCAGCAACGTTGGCAAGGCTGATTGCCCATTTGAAAGTGGGCGCCCAGAAATGAACTGCATACATTATCAGGTTGTACACTATTATCTCCTCATATTCATTCTTCCTCCACCGCATACTAATTACTGGGGCGTTTAACTAGCAGGGGAAACTTGTTTGCTGTTCTGTTCTGTTAATCTCCTTGGTACTAAACAAGGGGAACACTCGAAACCCTAATAATAACCCTAAGCCCACGGCCAAAAATGAATCCTAATCCTGTTAAAACTCGTATAATAAACAACCCATCTTCCTCAATTCTCTCCCACTGCATGTAGTGCCCTACCCAGAAAACAATTACAGTTAAAATGATTATTGAAGAGGAGGGATTTGAGAGATTAGCGAAAGAAGGGTTGGCTACTAACTGGTTTTAGGGCCGGCAGGGTGGTTCCAGAAAGATTGGAGTTTTGGAGATGGCTGCACCATCCTGATCCTGATTCTGTCCTCTGCTTCTTATTCTCTGTTGTGCATGCGCTTGCAATTTTTTTACGAAAATTTGCCTAATGAGGTGGAAAGAGGGAGAGTCTGGCATTTCTTTGTTTTCTTTTTTCTCGTTCACTTTTACCGGCAGCTAGCTACGTGGGTAGCGGTTGAATTAGAGCGAAAGAAAGAGTGGACTAAATCTCTTCCAATTCTGGCTTCTTCGCTTCAAACTCGGACTTGGAGCAGATGATCACGGGAAAGGTCCTACCAAAAAACGGAACAGCAAATATAAAACTAATTAATACAATTTTTTTTCCAACGATTCAAATAAAAGATAGTTACATCCTAGAGTTCAGTCAAACTTGAAAATCAAACAAACTCCTTATAGTTGGGTACAAAGAAAGGGTCTTACGAGCCACTAAGTGGGCTACCCTATTGCTACGCCGACCTACAAATCGCACACTAAATCCCGGATAACTATCAAAATACCAAATGGCCTCACGAAAAATTGCCCCCATTCAACTGTCTCTAGTATCAACCCGCAGGATCTTGTCAATAATCACATTCGCATCGCCTTCAAACCAATTAGCATATAGATGATGAGTTTCTTCTCAACTAGGCGAAGGGAGAGGAAGAGAGTCATTTCTGGGATATCTAGAGGACAATTAGTAAATTAGATTTAATAATTAATTGAGAATAAAAAATTAAGGTGCGTCAAATTGAGAAAAATTGGTTTTACACATATTGGACGTATGATTTACAAATCGTTTATTGACATACTCAATTTTATTTTGTAATGAGTTATATTCAAATGACAATAGTGCATATCACTCAAAATCTAAAGTATATGTATGCAATATCAACAACAATAATTTCACCATTAAATAACCAACAATTAAATTAAATCATGAATAATTGTTTGATACACGAAGTAATATTTTTGATAGTTTCGACTATTAAAATATTTTGATTTACCAAATTTCTTCAAAATATGAGATTATATAATGGATGATAAAAAAAAAAAGTTGACATAAACTATTTTACTATGTATATTTTTTTTCTTCTAAATGGACTCACTACAGACAACCTAAAAAAAAAAACCATGAGGAGAGCTCTCTCCTCTCTCCTCCATTTTGGAGGCTCGACTGTTCTTTGCTTCTTTCAGCTATGCCGACTTGCTGGAAATACCATCCATGGCTTTCTTGCAGTGATTTTAGAAATAGCTCTAGCTAACCAGGGGCTTCAGTACCCGCGAAGGAGCACAAATCAGCCTGCCTTGGTTATTAAACCGAGCTCCCATCGTAGCCCGGTGGCGTTTCGTGACACGGAGGACGGCCGGGAAAAGAAAAATCGTCCCGGCCGTGGCGGAGACGCTGATTCGGAGCAGTGCAATCGTAAAAGAGGACTGAAATTGGCGGTGGACAAACCACAAAGTGGCCATCGATGGAAGCGGCTGCGGAGATCTCCGAAGCTTTCGTGGCGATTCTACCTCCCAGCGCCAGAGGAGATGGAAGAGGGGGATAGTTTCACTTCCCCATCTCCCCTTCATACCTCGACAGGACTCAGACCCCGGGATGGGGCGAGGCCTTCGTGGCGATTCTACCTCCCAGCGCCAGAGGAGATGGGAAAGGGGGATAGTTTCACTCCCCCATTTCCCCTTCATACCTCCACAGGACTCAGACCCCGGGACGGGGCGAGGTCTCTCGATCTTTTTCATGGGCGTCTGGTGTTGACCGACGTTCCCCAGGCCTGGCCGGTGTGGACAGGCCGACCGGCGTTTTTCTGCCGGCCCCGTCCGATACGGCGTAGCGCCCGAAATCAAATCCCCAACGGCTGTGCTGCAGCCCGTAATTTGCGGGGCGGGGGTTACGATTCTCCTCTCCAACGGATACTCAACTGTGGGAGGTTATCTAAAAAGCAGTTTTGTTTAGATAATTCCCAAAGTCTCCCACTCCAAGTACACCAGCCAATTCGGGTGGTTGACGCGGAATCACACTCCTATTTAAGGGATGGCCTCCAAAGTAAGTCTCCATTGCTACAGAAACATAAAGGAGCTCTTACTTGGGTAGGTGGTGCGATTATCGTAAGGCGTGGGAGTAATCCAGGTGAGTGGATCACCCTTTGCATAGAGCCTGTGGCTGGGGCCTGGCCTAAAGCTTTTCCATTATTGTGTATAATTAGCTTGCATGCTTGCTTTCCCTGGTCGATTCCAAACTTCCATTATTCCACGATGGGTGATAGGGGTTTAGTGGGATTGCCTATTTTGCAGCTAGGCACCATGGCGCTCGGAGCCAATGATCAGGTTGTGGAATTCTCGTTGGAAGAAGTCCGATCGACCCGAGTATGCAGGTCCAGGATTCTGATCGGCCGCCTGTTTGCGGAGGATGCGATGTCTGTTGCTGAGCTTCGGGACGCGATTAACCGACCTTGGCAGGGGGCTGGCCGAATCATCGTAAAACAGATAGCTTATGGGCTGTTTGAGTTCGTCCTTCCTACCGAAGCGGACAAAACATGGGTGCTCCAGCGTACTCCATGGGTCATTAATGATAGGATCCTGAATGTTCGAGCTTGGACCCAACACGTCTCGCACCGAACCTTTGAGGAGCTGGCGGTGGCGCCGTTTCGCGTCCAAATGTGGGACGTACAAGAAGACTGCTGTACACAGCACTTTGGCAGGAAAATAGCTGCTGCCACCCTTGGCCGTGTCCTTGAGGCGGGGGTTTTCTCTTGCTCTGACACGAACCAGAAATTCGTCAAAGTAAAAACAGTGCTGGATTTCTCTAAACCACTGTGGTCCCAAATTATGGCCAACAATGTGGAGACGGGGCGTTTTTGGATCCGATTCAAGTACGAACACCTGCCAAGTTTCTGCTATAACTGTGGACGTGTGGGACACTTTCGACAGGGCTGCTCTTATGATCCACCTTCAAGACAGGAGAAGTATGGTCCTCACATGTCCACTAAGAAGATGGGGATGAAGCTATTTGAGGATGAAGCTGATGACCAGCAGTTTCGCCGAAACTCGCATTCAGTTTGGATCAATAATAATATTCGTGCAGGGAAGGTGATGAAGGATCAGCCGAAAAACGGAGCTGGACAGAGGGAGAGAAGGGAGCCGCCAAAGGAGACCCCGGCTGCGGTGGGGACCAGCCCGCTCTGGATGGGTACCTCAACAAGACCGTTCCTGACGACGGAGCCGGGGAACTCTAATGGTAGAAGCCCCATCCGCTTCCCAATGGCAAAAGCACCTAAATTGAATATTGGTTGCCGTGGTCGCCATGGTAAACCCCGGAAGGATGGGCGAGGGAGTTCAATGGAGGTGGATGAGCTGCCCCAGCAGGCGACCCGCCTTTCAAAGCCTCCCCGTAAAACTATTGGGGCGAATGCTGCTCTGGCGGCGGAAAAGATTCCTACCTCGCGTTGAACTGATCGACAACGGGCGGGATCCCCTCTGCCTGATCCAGTGGGGGACAGTTGGGCGGAGGACCTGAAGACGGCCTATCGGCGGCGGATTATCCTTGAAGACGAATCGGAGGAAGAGTTCGTCGTTCAACCAGTTCCCGTCCCTAGGCCTGCGAAGCAAAAGCAGGCGGAGAAGATCCCTGGCAGTGGGGAAGGGAAGTCTCGGCAGGGGGGTGGCTTTGAAGCCGGCCCAGCAGGCAAAAACCCAGGTCAAGGGTGGTAGAAAAGGGGAGCAGCGGGCTGTGAAGTTCTCTAGCCCAAGTGGCCCCGGGCCTAACCTAGCAGGTGAAAGCGGCCCTATACAAGAAAAGGGGCTGGGCCGCAGAGGGGAGCAGAAGGCCCAGGCGGGCCGGGGGGCAGACTGCGAAAGGCCTCGGGCCCGTCTGATGGTGTGCAGAAAGAAAGGGAGGAGGAACTGGACCTTACAGGTCGAATGGGCAATGTTGACCCAGTGGGGTCCGAAAGTCTGGCCCAAAGACTGAGGAGGTGCGAGCCCTAGTCTCGGCAGGCTCGGACTCTGAGGAAGAAACCCACTGTTTTGAGATCAAAAAACGGGGTCCAGCCAAAAAGCCTCGGGAGTCATGTGCTACTACGAAGGGAAGGGTAGGCCAAGTTGTGGCTGCCTTTGAGGCTGGGTTTACCATTACCCCAGTGAAGACCCCTGTCGTGGAGGACCAGGATGGAGAGGCAAATTCAAATGGAAAAGTCAAGGGATCAATGCAGGATGAGACGTTGGAGTTGGATGAGTATGGCTCAAATTTCGTGAACCCAGATGTAGGGACGCGCAAAAGACCCATCGAGGAAGTGGAGGGGGAGCTGGGGGATACTCCCACGCCCAAAAAGCTGTTTGTGGAGATTGCTGATAACCTGGAACAGGTGGAGGAAGCCAGCCTAAAGTGGCCCCAATCGGATAAATGAAGCTTCTGGCCTGGAATGTGAGAGGCATTGGTCCTTCTCTCACATTCCAAACAGCTGTAGGGCTAGTTAGGTCGAATAAACCGGATCTCGTGTTTTTTTCGGAAACACGATCGAGCCGGCGTGTTGTCTCTCGCCGTATGCGGGGTTTATCTTTTGATCTTTCCAATTGTTTCTTTGTGGATGCGGTTGACGCTTCCGGTGGTCTTGTTGTTGCTTGGTCCCCCGAAGTTGTGGCTTCGGTGTTTTATCATTCAAATTTTTGTATTTGCGTTCAAATTAATGAAGGAGATTTTGTTTATGTTGTGGTGTGTGTTTACATTAGTTGCAATGCGACTACCAGGACTTCCCAATTGGCCCATCTTAATGCTGTTTGTGCAACCCTTCATTGTCCGTTTGTTGTCATTGGGGATTTTAACACGATTCTTCATGAAAGTGAGAAAGAGGGAGGGAATCCCTGGAATGCTGCGCAGTCTGCTAGTTTGCGTGAGTTTATTCATACCTTAGGGCTTCATGACCCGGGGTATCAGGGGGAGCAGTTTACCTGGACCAACAAAAGGATGGGTACTGCTTGCATTCGTGACCGTCTCGATAGAGCGCTCTGTTCGCAATCGTGGATCGATCACTTTCCTGATACTTTGGTTAAACATTTTACTGATCAGGGTTCTGATCACAGGGCGCTCCTGCTTGCTGACAAACCTTATGCCCGTAATTGCCGCCCTCTCTTTCG